TTTTAGAATTGCCCTTTTTTAGTAAAAAATTGTTTAAATAATGTATAAATTGTTTAAACAATGAAAATCTAATTTGGGTACAAATTAGTCTTTAATTCATAGTTTTTTATGAGAGTAATAAAATTTGAATCGTGAAAAGTTGGGTTGCTATGATTTCAAATCGGGTTTCCAGCGGAACTAAGAGGGTACAAATTCTAACGTTGTGGGTACATATTAGTCTTTAATTTACACGTTCTATTTGTTTTAATCAATTCTGAGAAATGTCCTTTTTTAGTAACAAATTGTTTAAACAACGTATAAATTGTTTAAACAATGAAAATCTAACTTGGGTGTTTCTTATTAAGTTTGATTGTTAGACATAACTGATAGTCGGGTTAATTTATTAACTTTTTCCGAGGTTTCTTTTTATTTGTGAGAAGGAAGAGAATTTTTCCGAATAAAACGTGTTCATTTTAACCATTGTAAAATAATTGTATTTTTGTTAAAAATTGATTAGGTAGTTTAAATTAATTTATCTGGTAAGAATAACAGGCATTCGTGTTGAAATACCAGTGACGCCAAAAAAAAAGATGCATTTTGCCAGTATCGAGGTCGAATTCGCCGTTTACAAAATTTCGTTTCGTCGTATAGTGTTGCACAATTTTTGCCGGTGAAGTTATTTTGCCGTTGTCCAGCGACATCCATCGGTGACCGGGCATTAGGCCGCCAGACATTAGGACGCAGACAATAGGACGCCGTCATTGGGCCGCAGACATTATTAGGACGCAGACATTTAGACGCAGTGGGACGCAGACATTGGAACGCGGGTATTAGGACGCGGACATTACGACATTCTTTCTTTTCACATACATTTGGTGCCCCTCCTAAAATGTTCGTTTTTTTTATTGAAAGCATATCACGAAGAATAGAGTTAATGATTTCAATCTGTTCAGACACATTATGTCCTTAGAAAATGACTTCAATATCTACTGATATTCGTACAGACCCGGTTGTACCATGATAGTTCATACTCAGTTCACTCGACTCACCAAATTAAGAAATTTGATTGATTAGGATCTAATCCAGTCTCTTAATTATGTCAGTCATGTGAACTAAAGTTTCACACTGTCGTGTAACAACCGACCTCTAGAGATGCCATATTATACTAAAAAAAACAGCCTAGGCTTACATAGTTTTGTATCTGAATACATAAAGATTGTACATGCGTAACAAATTTCATGGAATTCTGGCACTTATTGTCGGGTCTAGAATTACCGTTGGAATTTTTTAGTCGAATTGATTTTGGGTTCGTACAGAAATAGACCTCCGTTACATTTTGCACAATATGCAGGTGGAACCAAAACGACGGTGTTGCGTAATATTTCAATTGTGCTTATGGTACTTTTGTGCTCAGGAGATTTTTTGACGTTTGGAAAATTGAAGTGCTTAGTTTAATTTTTGGATGATTAAAACGCGATTCATACTATACGTACCGACACCGTCACGTCACCATATCGGTAACGCAACGTAAAATATTCTCGTTGACAAATTTTGACGGTCCGGACGGTGACGTGATGGTGTAGTCTGAACATGTCTATAGCTTTCAATGTAATTGGGGTAAAAAATGACCCCCCCCCCCACTTTTTTACGGAAATATACGTTTTGAACCACCAGGAATCCGTATCAAACAAAATCTCGTCGATCGGTCTGTCGGTCTGTACTCTTATTTCCGACTAAATTGCTGACCCGATTGAAACCAAATTTGGTACACATATTCTTAAGACAAAAAAAGGGCAGAAACGCGCATGCGCCGGAGGTATCTGTGCTAGAGACAGCGATTTTTTTAAAATTTAATTTGTCGATACTTTGTAGTGAACTGTTATAGACTTATCAACTTTAAATTCATAACTGATAACAGAATTTAGAAATTGCAAAATTATCGAGTAAACATGAACAGGTACAACGTTAAGCTGAAACTGAAAGTACCATTCCCTAAAAAGCATCAGTTTAAATAGTACCTATGTATACTGAAATAGTGTTACAATGCGGCCCATTCTAATACGACTATCTTGTGGCACAAGAGAAAATCAGTCATTAACCAGAATATTTCATATAGACCTCATAGATCGCGAGATATCAGCCAAAAAGAGCGAAAACACGGTTTTTGGGGGATGGTGGGGTGGCTGGAGCCTTTAGCACAGGGTCTGGAGGGTGGGATTTTTAATATGTTGTTTCTGACACCTAACTGAACATATTCCACCATTTTTTTCTTTTCCACCTCAAAATGTCTAGTTTGCCAATTTTACAGTCTCTATCGCCTAGACTATGTGGCACAAGAGAAAATCAGTCATTAACAAGAATATTTCATTTAGAAATTATATTTCGAATTACATACACTGCTCTTGTATCCCCAATTCCCCAACACTAAACTTGGGATGGCGTCTATTATTATCGACAATGTAAACGTTCTTCGATATTTGAAAAAAATCGATGCACGATAATATGAATGTCGAGATGAATGTTTATGTAATAAAAATACAAATATATCGCGCACACGAAAAATGAGAACATGTTATCGAAGGGGCGGTTATATTAGAGAAGGATGTCATTTCCATTCAACCTCTTATAATATTAGGTAACTAAAGGTTGATTCTCACTATACATAACGTTTCACCATATCCTTTCCATAACCATTCCGTAAATTATTTTACCTATGAAATTTTTGAACCGAAAACCCGAGCGAAAACCTAATTATGCCTACACAAATACAAGTTTTCTATCTGTAGTTGCGTTTGTTGTGCGTGATCACAATATCCGAACGCCCCTTGAAACTGAAAAAAAAGCGTTCTGACCTCAACCTTCATGAAACATTCACACATACTCTCCTCCTTAAACTTTGCATTGCACGCAAAGCTCTCCTACACCTTTTTACAGGCCTTTTTATTATAAATTAATTTTTATTAAATTGTTTAATTTAATTCTTGATAATTCGTTAATATAGTGCATTCTATCCCATAACTACACAAATGTTACATATAGAACCAACTTTCTTGGGAGGTATAAAGGAATAAGTAGATGCATAAGTTCTTCATTTGAAGACTTTTTGCTTCTACTCCCCAACCCTCGGTTTAAATAAATATGTAGTTGCAATACCATTATTTTCAAGGTACAGGAGGATGAACGCTCAAAGAAATTTTTCAATTTGTCTGGTCTGGAAAAAATTGAAATCAGATGGTGTACAATGAAAAAGTATAGACAAACCCGAATGTAGCACACAACTGTTAACAATACTTGCCAAACGCAATAGTTGCATAACAACTGTTGCGTCATTGTTATTGAGATTTGCATTAAATTTTGAATATAATGAATTGACTCCCGTGCCTCTAATTATTGCCGCTGCAACGAGGGTGGGTACGCTGACCGACTTTTGAAAAACGTTCGCTGATGACTAAATAATAAAATTTAAGTCGCATATACTTTCTATGCGAAAGTATAAATATGTTTGAAGGTTTGAGAAACAGAGTTCAACGACCACATTAAGATTTTCATCTGCGATGATAATGAAATAGAAACTTAAAATCTTGTTTAGGATGTTCGCAGTTCCTTGTCATAAGATCAATTAGCTGGTCGAATGTTTTAAAATAAAATTAAACAAGGGAAAGTGTACGCACATGCGCGCATTTTTCGTATGTAGTAGCATCTTACAATTATTTTTTTCTCCAACCACCTGAATAAGACGCTATTTTGTTATACTTTTTGGTACACAAAATGGGCGATTTGGGGAGTCGTCAGTATCACCATGGTAACTGTCCAAAAAGTGGGTACTTTTCGGACTAGTCCGAAAAGTAATTTGACCTTGAAAACGAATGTTAACCAATCAAAAAATTACAAATAGTTGTCATTGACCTGTCATTCAGAACATGACTTGAGATGTCACTTTAAGAAAAACCGTAAACATGTCTATTTTTATATTAATCAGCACTTGCACACCAACTTGAAACTTGAAACTTGAAACTTTCAACAAAATCGAAATAAATGTCAATTTCCTATAGGAAGCGCTGTCAAGACTTGTTTAGACGTGCAAGATTTTATTGCAGGAATGACTTGCCTGAAAGTTTTCGACTTGCTGGGCTCAGCTCTTCTATTACCGTTTACATTATGAGTTATTGGGAAGTGCTCTCCGACACAAATTTGTGATAGTTTTACTATTGCCGCACTAGTGTTTCAAAGACCTGTTTTCACAATCAATTTACCTACAAAAACAATCGTGTTTCTGCACTTTCGTAGAAAAATAGCTATTTGTATAACAAGGGAGGAAAGTTAAAGATGCCCTCCCGCGTGTGAAGTTTAATGCCCGACGCGAAGCGGAGGGCAGTAATCACACAAGGGAGGGATATGTACTTTCCTCCAGAGTTATACATATGATTTTTTCTACTACCTCAACTTCAATTTAGCAAAGATTTCTACGGTAAGATGACCGCTTGCCATCTAGTTACACTAAAAAATTTAGGATGTATCCATGGTGAAGTTATGTTGCCATGGTAGCGGTATAAACAGTAGCTTGTGTACTGGTCGTTTCTGTAATTTTTCATCAGGAAATATGGAAATAGAAAGTGATTTAGAGGAAAATATTCCCTCAGACATTTTAGAAGAAGCTAATCAGGCATCGCTTGATCTACTGCCTGCAAAATCTAGGGACAGATACTGTTGTATTTTGTAGCAGTTACTAAGTTACGGTAGAGTTAGTAACGTGATAAATAATTTTGAATTTGAATTACATAAAAATATACTTACGTCGTTGTCAATTCTGTTAATTTGTGCGATAACATTTCCTGTTGAACCACCGCAGTGTATTATTCGAACCTCGGAGGCAACTGCACCGGGTAGGAGCAGTGGAACCCCGGACACAACAGATACGAAAAAGAATATACTTACTGCTTTCAAAAATTGGATGATGGGGAGAAAAGTCAAGAAAATTGCTGAAGAGGTAATCTTAGCATATTTTGCGCATCATTCGAAAACGCTTAAACCATCGACGATGTGGAGTAAATATTCAATGTTACGTACCACATTACTTATAAACGACAACGTTGACATTAAGTATGCAAAAGTCATAGCTTTGCTTATACGTCAAGGAAATGGGTATAAACCAATGAAAGCTAAAATTTTCTGTAGGAATGACCTAAACAGATTACTTTCGGAGGCGCCCGATGACTATTACTTGCAAATGAAGGTAATTATGAGATGATTTGAATTTGATACATTATGAACGCTATATTTTGTTCGTAGGTTGCTTTAATTATTGGACTTGCCGGAGCTTGCAGTTGCGATGAGCTAATTAAATTGACATTGCATGATATTCAGGATAATGGAGACATATTAGTTGTGAAAATACCCGATAGCAAAACAAAAATGCAAATAACATTTGTAATCACTAACGAAACCATTAATGGAACAAGTGTACATGGAATTTATAGAAAATATGTTTCATTACGCTCTGCTAAAACTGAACATACAAGATTTTTTGTTAATTACATAAAAGGGAAGTGCACTATCCAAGTCATAGGGAAAAATACAATTGCCAAAATACCATATAAAATTGCAAAGTACCTCGAGCTACCAGATGCAGAAGGTTACACTGGGCATAGTTTTCGGCGCACCTCCGCGTCTTTGTTGGTTGATGCTGGAGGAGATTTATTGAGTTTAAAGAGACACGGAGGATGGCGCTCTACCAACGTAGCCGAGGGCTATTTAGGAGAATCAATCGTAAAAAAAAGTAAAGTTTCTAACCAAATTACATGCGGAATGCTCTCCTCAAAAGTTTCTGGAGAACATCAAATGAACTCTACAAACATTGACAAGTACAGGTTTCAACGTTAATCAATCTTCCTCACCTTTTTCTGGTAACATTACTTTCAACAATGTTAGTAATTGCACCTTTAACTTCGGTTCTTCTACTAGCACTGAGAATAACAAGTACATATAAATAAAGTTAGTTGTAATTGAAGGGTATTTTGTTTAGTTATAAGCTTAGGTACGTTATATGGAGTTGAGGGAGGAAAAACATTTTTCCTCCCTTAGGGAGGAAAAGTGCAGCTTTCGACCCTAAAAACGGGGCGAGAAATGATATTTTCTAAAGAGGTAGTAGGAAAATAATTTTAACAAACACTTAAGAGATTTTTTCTGAGCTTTCTGATGATTTTAAAATCAAAATTTTATGACTTGTGGGTTTGGAGTCAATCGCATCAACTTTCTTATTTCTTACGGACAACATATTGGATTTTTAATAGGTACATATTAGACCGAGTATTAGGCACAAAACAAAACAAGAACAAAAGTACAGTTACAGTAGTACTTTACTGAAAAAAAAAATGAAATTAATAGCACTATATTATAAAATTTGCTGTGGTTAGCACAGATACCACCCGCACACCGGCGCATGCGCGTTCTACCTTCTTTTAGGTCTAACAATATGTGTACCCACAGAGTTGTAATAAGTAAATAGAGAGACAGTCTTGTAGCGAAAAATTGACTCCAATTGAACCTTGCACAGGCCGTTGGTGAGTGTGCGCAGTAATCGACAACAGAACCGGCTTCAAATTAAATGATCCTTAAAGCAGGTTCGGCTTGAGAATAATATGGTTTCTCATTGCAACAAAAATTGAAAAGAAATTCAATGTGTGGTGAATGATGTTGTTAACACTGTGTCTTGAATAAATAAGAAACATTACAATCGTTAAGAACTTTTAATACAGTAGACTACAATACAAAGCTGGTAAGGGGCTTACAACATCAGAATCGAGAAAAGATTTTTTGAGATTCTGGTATAAAGGAAATCGTATATTTGTCGTGCGATCGAGTTTAAAGATCTATTTATGCACTCAGTGAGTATAAAAATAAGCAATGAAAGAATAAAATAAGTTGAAATTTTATTTTGGTGCGGGACAAAATTTCAGGTGTGCAATGCCGAAAACACAGTTTGAATACGGGTAGCCACAAAGTCGACAAACTGCAAATGCCAATAACTCAAATATCTCAAAAATGGAGCATCGGCAGAGGGTATGTACAGTGGCACCACGCTCAGAAGGTCCCTGACATGGCGTGTCCGAGGACGTTGGAAATTTAGACTGTACATTCTCATGCAAAATTTGACTCTACTAAATATAAATGAGTGGGCCACGCGATATGAGTTGCATTACTTCAAGGGGAAACAGTAAAATTAATAATTTTATTTCTACAAAACGTAAACACATTTAAGATTGTTAGATGTTCATGTTCAACACAATTTACAATTCTGATGCACTTCTGCTGTGTAAATATGGACAGTTATTGAAACAATCACATTGAAATTAATAACACTGACATTGACTAAATTAACACACAACCTTTAACTTTTTTCATTCATTATCGTCACTTGACCGCTAATCATCATCGGAACTGCCGGTGTTCACAATAAATTGTAGATTGTCAATAAATTCATTTCTCGTAGGATTGTTATTTGCTTCTAACCAAGAACGTATCACTTCCTTACGATTATTCATTGTTGGTGGCTTATTTATTTGAACACCGACGAGGTGCGTGAGTTTGCTGGTAAATTGGGTATAAGCTGCTTCTCTAACCACTGCATAAAGTTGGTATGATTCATATCATCGTAATAATCCCCGGATTTACTGTGCGACATCCTCTACAAAACCAGAACGACTACCAGCATACTACGATGTACCTCTGACCAGCCCATTATAAACTTCCGGATACTTCATCTGATTGTTAGCATTTACTCACTCCGTACGATGGGTGAATATTGGTTTCGTCCAAGTATATAACGGGTTTCTTGTCACATTGAGGTTGTTCATTTTCTTTTAATCTACTTAAATAACGAGATGCCATACTACAATGTCACTTCTTTCCATTACCAACCTACGTTTGTCCCGACACTTCTTGTATCGAAAACCAAGTTTCAACAATTGCTTGCGAAGAGTTTTCCTTCCACCCATATATTTGATCTTTTCTTGCACTTTTCTAGGAGCATTTTAAAATAACCTTTATTTATGTACAGATCGTCGCCTACTAAACATTGAAATGGCGGTAAAGAGTATAATGTAATGGGCATGCTTAAATTATTACTCCAAAGCGTCTGTTTATTTACAAATGAATCTGAAGCATCTGAAAAGTTATTGCTGTTTTGTTTTGTGATTATGTAACTGAATGCACCCAAAAATCGTGCTGATTCCCTTTCACGCACTGCGCATGAGTCCCAACGGCTCCGCCATTAAAAGTCGGCCACTGTAGTTGGAGTTATTTTTCCACGCGCAGGTCGTATGTACTGCCTCTCTATTTACTTATATACAACTCTGTGTGTGTACCAAATTTGGTTCCAATCGGTTCAACCAGCCGTGTACGTTTAGCCGTTAATGAGAATTTAACACACTTGCGCATGCGCTATTCTCCCCGAAAGCTTTTCAGCTCTTCCTTTTATATCTAAGAATATGTGTACCAAATTTGGTTACAATAACAGTACACTACAGACAGACCGACATCATCAAAATGTTGTTGGATTCGGAATCCTGGTGCTTCAAAACGTGTATTTCCGAAAAAAAGTAGGGGGGGGGTCATTTTTTACCCCAATGCAATACCTCTCTTACTAACGTGCGGGTGATAAAAATTACAGTGCGTGAGGCAAATTCGAGGGCAAATTGTAACATTAAACTGTTTCTGTATAATTTTTCTACTCAAAACTGTAACAAATTACCAACCATAATGTTATTGATTACTACGTTGCATGTAGCGTAGGTTAAAACAATGTAATTATTTCGAAAGAATAAAAATTCCTCTTACGTGATGGTTTTGTCTGCCTGTGCGTCTGTTCCTCGTCTAACTCAAGAACGAAAAGACACAGGGATGTCAAATCTTCGCCAATCGATTTCTACGAGTACAAGAATCAGTGTTACTGACTATGAGCCGGATGAAAAGTCTGGTTTACCAATACGAGCTGAGTAACAAAAAAATTCCCCTACTGAATCGTATGTGATTCTTCGTATATTCATCACTTTATGTGCATCTATTCCATAACAAGTTAAAAACGTGGTCACTCGCGACCGACGAAAGCGCATTTTCCCCGCACAAAATCATTAATTGTTCGGGAAGGAAGTGGCTAATCCAAAAAGTCTTTTGTCGTTCTGGCCTCGAGGCTGTGCCACACCGTATAAGAAACCACAACGAAAAAGCTTAAAGTGGAGGACTAGTAATGGTAAAGACGGACAAAGTGCGGACAATAGCGTTCGTTTTCCTTTTGGAAAATGCGCTAAAAAGCGCCGAACCGAAATATGTAAGTGACATGACAATATTGGTCGGTAGCTATCCATTTTATACGACTCAAAACGGGGTGATATTGACTAAGTGGATTGATTATCAATCCACTTAGACAATATTGGTCTTCGGTTAATTTAATCTCTATAGTCTATACAATATGGTAACTTCATGGACATTGAGGTAACTGAATAAGGTTATAAAAGGTTTACCTACTTTTGCTTTGTCACCGAACAGGGAACAGCGATGTGACAGAAAAAGGTGGCCGTGTTCTGCTTTTATTGTGAGCTTTCAACATTTTCTAAAATGGATTAAGCGATTTCTCAAATCCCAGGTAGGGGCCCGGGCCCCTCCTTGCCCCTTAGTAGCGGCGCCCATGTTTTGTACCTATGTACTTCATTACAGACAGAATCAGTACTTAATGACTACCTTTACGATGGATTTCGATTTAGATCAGCTGAACGATGCTACACATTATAAGCCATTTAAAAATGCGTGCGATTTACTCGTTGGCAATAAATATAAAGTGCCGAATCTTGATACCATTTCGACAAAGTATGGCGATCGGGTGATGGTTGAAACGGACTCACATGTGTTTTACCTGAGAGGTACTACAACTTTTTTAAGTGTGCCTCACGAATGGCGGCTTTCAACGAGAAGTTGAGAAGAACGGAGCAGTTTAGGTGTAGCATGCAAAACAACAAATTTAAAGTTTGTTTAAACTGTTGTATTGTGTATTATGAATGCATGACAATAAAATCTATAAAACTTGATCATTTGTATGTTAGTTATTTGCACAATAGAAGTCCCCTACGCGTTGAATATGAGTAGCGTTGGGTATGAACTTCCAGGCCCCAGGGTATCAAGCGTCCTCGCCCGGAAAAATCTAAGCTCTGAAACGTTGAATTGTTTAGTATTTGTAGATAAAAGACAACCAAAACATCTAAGAGGAACCGGAATACTGCAAGTAAAAATCATCAATGTGTTGTTTTGTCCTGGATCTATGAACAAGTAAGTAAGCACATACCATAACACCATACGTAATTTGCTACTTAACAGGAAACTAATAATCCAAGGAAATAATAGAGCGCGGTTATATTACTCATTACTGTTAATTAATTCGTGTATGGATTTTAAATAAAACATGATGCATGAACCTGTACGTAATAAAAAATCGCACGGCAATCAGAATCACATTACGTCACAACTTTTTTCGAATTTGAACTTTTATGCCTTGCGGCCAGTTGAAAACATATTTATAGAATTTGGCAGGGTTCAAACAAATTAAACGTGTAAAATGATCTGTAGGGGAAATGCTGCCCCGCATAAAACTAAACCAGCTGTTTGTACTAAACGTTGAAATTGTTCCATATTGGCCTTTGGTAATTACACTAGGTACAACCCTTAATACTAGATACGAATATTAAACATGACATTGACCCAGTCCCTCGTTCAAACATTCTCTAGCTTTTCACCAATACATTAAAAATCCTATTGTAGAATTCCGAAATGAAAATTTCGTCGATGGGTAGAGAACCGGATTGCTGTAACATCTCGTTTTTCAAACGTGAGCTGCACCTTAAATTTTTCTTTCGGCCATGATTACATACTTACAACGTTTAAATACTTTCAAATGCAAGTTGGGTGCAAGCGTCATAAATAATTTATAAAATTCAAAAGCATGACGGAAACCGTAGGTAGCCGACATTGATTTGTTCACGCTAGTTGATTTACACGTACAATTGGAGAGAGCATTGTGAATGTTCTTTTCAATCATTATCAATTATCACGGTCGCTTATGGAAGAATGTACCTCAGCAGGTACATTGCGAGTATTGATCAGTCAAAGTGGGTTAAGAGTAAAGTACGAAATTACGTATTCTTGAAATGTATGTAGGTGATTATGCTGCGACGTACATAGACATCGGTTACATAAATAAGGTGATGGACTTAATTTAATTCTGGTTGGAATGTTTCGTAATGTTAACGGTTTTAAATATTATAATCACGGTGTGTGTGAATGTTTAGAGTGTAAGAAAATTACAATAACCCACTTACCTCGACGACTTTAAGGTTTTGCTTGTCCAGAAGGAATTCCATGGACTTGTGTGGCCTAGTGGGGTGTGGTGGGGCTGCGAGGCTGCGTGGTGGCGCCTCGGCCCCCAGGTTCATCAAACTTCTCGTCTTCACATGGGTACCACTTGTAATAACTGTCACCTCCGTATCGAGGTCCGTCTCGATCAGCCCCATGGGCTCCATGGACCGGGGGAACACGTCCCCGGAATCAATAGTCCGGTGTTCGGAACGAACGAGTTGCGCAAATGTTTCGCCCGTACGCGGTTTCACGCTTGCGCCAACTACCCTCGGCGGCGCTTTCGGTAGGGGTGGTTTGGCACTTATGCAGGTAACGTCCTCCGGTCTTGTTAATAATGCGGTTTCCGACACTTGTTGATCGTCGTCTTTAGTTAACAGTTTTTCGGGTCCTTTTAATGGTATATAAATATAATCCTCTTTGGTGGCGATCCGCTGCGTATTCGTCATCGCTACCGGCGCGGACTTCTTTTTACCTTTGCCGTTGTCATCGAAACTTTTGCGAGATGAGAAGCGAAAACTAGCGAGCCGAGAAAAAAAACCGCTTAATTTTTTCGATTTTTTAGGTTTTGAATCGCATGTCGTAATTTTATCCATTGCTGTTACCGCCGCCTGCTTCGGAAGCAGCAGATTTGTTTGTGGCGTGACAATATTCGTGCCACTGCCGCTTGTAGACACGTGACTACTAGCGGGGGTGGGAGGCATTGACTCGTAAACATCTCCCAAATAAGAATGTCTGTAAGTTATGCCATCACCGTCTACGTAATTAACCAACACGCAACCGTACTCATTTCTTCCCGTCGTTTCACTACTACGTCTGTTAGTGCTTCCGTTCAATGTTGTCTTAATATCCGGCTGACTTACGGTACGATTCCTAGGGGGCGTGTAATGCAATTCGGCGTTGGTTTGAAAACTATTCGTAGCCAATTCGGTGTATTTCAATTCTGGTTGACTTCTAGACACTTCGGCGGTTACAAGAACTCGAGGGTGAGGTCTAATAATTGGTGGCGTTGGAGATTTTTGTTTAACGTCCTCGCATTCGGGAGTGCTCGACAGACTGTAACTGGAGTCCTTCTCACTGGTGGTCTCGCTATCGTGCCAATTTACTTCCGCCACAATTGGGCAAAAGTGCACCCCTTTGGAGCCCGTTGATCCACTGAACGATTTTGCATTTACTAAAGTCTTGTCGTCATCAGATAAGCCACTTGTACTACTGTTACTGTGGTTAACCAAAGAGCTTTTACGCTTAAAACTTTGTGTAGAGCAACTCGCTATGACATCAAAATGAGCGTTTTCGTTTTTATGCTTGGCAATGGATAAATTTGGGGTGCTAATAACATTTCGTGCATGTGCCGATATAGGTGTCGAGACAAAAAAATCGAGGTTATTACTACTGTTGTGAAAGCTTGGTATACTCGTTTCGGAGACCGTTTTAAAAATCTGCTTGTCGAAATCCACAATTGTACTCTTTTTAATATTTTCCATGTAACAAGAGTTGTATTCATCGTCACTAATGTCGACCCTATTACTCATCGCCTCTAAGTAGCTGCCCTCTCTTCCAAATGTACTGATCTCAATATCCGACCCCGTAGAAATACTACTCGTATATTCCTTTTGTACATCAGCAACATTATTCATTTTCAACTTCCCCTCGTCTAACAACTCCATTTTGAAGTCTGCGCTGTTCAACGAACTCTCGATAAAAATACTTTCTTGATTGGCAAAGTCGGCAATATCACAGTTTTTTGCCGCAATCGAAGGAATAAAATAATTCACGTTCCACTCTTTGTTATTCGACTGTAATTCACTGGCTAAATTAAGATCTTTAGGTACACTAGACGCACAGACGCCACTATCAAAAAACTGATTTTGAAAATCATCTAAACTTTGCAATGCTTCAACAGGCAAGACGGTACTTCCACTTCGATCTTGCAGTAGGTTCGGTTCACTCGCCGACGCCGTATTATATTTAGAAGTTCTAACGTCGCATTCCGTTCTCTTTTCTATATTTATCCCAAAGTCCGATCTTTGAATTATGCTGAAATCCCATTTCGAACACTTATTATATACGAATCGCTCAATTAGGGGATTGGTTGTGCACAACACGTCATACTTATCCAATATAGTAAGATCCTGATAACTTGAACCAAATTTCATCGACACATTCTCGAGTTTGTGATGAGAATCGCAGGTATCAAACCTCGAATCGCCTTCGAACTCGAAATCGCTTTTCCCCCCCTCGCTTTGTGTTTTTAAATTTGGAATACTACTCGATTTTTGTTTAGCAAAGTTGCAAAAGTGATCACTGTATCCACTATCCTCACTCAAGTTCTCTATAGAAATCTTATCCCCCGTACTCTTATGAAGAGCTTCTAAACTTCTCGATGTTTTCAAACACCCACTTGATTTATAATACTCCTCTAAAGAGCGATCGTTCGGAGACTCACTCGACTCTGAGCTACTCGAATTAATCTTATTATGCAAATATGAATCTCGAAATAAGCTGTATTTTGGTCTGACCACGTCGATTTTCAGCGATTTGTAATAATCCGATTCTTTCTCGTCGTCGCCGTCTAAACTATCCGGACTCAAATCGCTTTTTCTGCGTATCTCTAACGAATCGAAGCTAAATGCAGAAAGAATGCTAGGAGAACTACTACTGATATCTTGACACTGGCGTTCTAAACTTTCGAACTGTAGAAGACTGCTGGAACGACTTAAGGATTGATTCGATTCGTCGTCACTAATGCCCAGTAGATTGGCGTCTTGACGTCGACGTTTCATCGGCCAAGGTATTTCTCTTTCTAATTCGGCGTCAACATCTTCTAAAAGAAAACGGAGCATTAGTTAATTTGAATCAATAGTCGTAAAAATATAAGAACTTGTCGCAAAAACCGTCAAGCTCCCGACAACCATATTCCAGAAACGAACCATATTCTCGAAGAAGACATGAGCAACACAACAAAATAATAACAAATTGCAACTCCGACAAGGGCAACGTTGGGCAGACTGAAATCTCGACAATATTGTTTAAAGCAGGCATGGGCAACCTTTTTTCCAAGGGGCCAAAATAAAATTTTTCATATGCGCCACGGGCCAATGTTGAAAACCCAAATAAAAAGTATGTTTAACGAAATCTTTTTGGTGTTGACTCATTTTTTGCTTTCGTAAAAATCATTAAAAACAGAACATAAGTACTCTTGAAAATTGACACGATTTTGTATACAAAGTTTACCAGATGTGGATAAAAAATCCCTATATTCAGCTTGTATCCAAATTTTCATTTATGCTCTTAAGATTTGTTGCAATATATGGCTTAAAAATGTTGCTGAATCCCAAAACATGTGTCGTTTTATTGCCCCACCCGGTATATATCGCGACGAAAATTCTGGAAAATACCTGGTGATATCTGTGAAAAAAGAAATGCATCTTCAAAGAGGCGTTCAAACGCCTTAGAAGCTTCGGATTGGGTCCACTAGATGCTGCGGTGTAACATAATCATAATTAATTAATTAATTCGAATTTTTAATCTAACTTGGCGGGCCGTATGAAGTATTAACTATGAATTATGTTAGCGGGCCGGACAAAACTTATCGGCGGGCCGGATTAGGCCCGCGGGCCGTGGGTTGCCCATGCCTGGTTTAAAGAACCTAACCTATCCGTTCGCCTGGACAGCCGTTTTGTTTTACACGCACGTTTTCTTAAGAAAAGAATTGTTATATGTATAAGACAGAGTTTTTATCTGGACTTTGTAATGTTTGACGTCCTAGAAGTGCGCTGATCAGGAAGTCCCATTTTGTTAATTGTCAAGGGTTTGGCATTTGATGTTACACCTACGCATTGTGTTAAACAATTCAATATGTTAAGCACGATATAACAAACTTTCGTCTATACTTGCCAATGTCCAGTTAGAACTGTAGCAGTGCCACTGGGAGTGACGGAACGGCCAAATTACGAAGAAGATCCAAGTCCAGGTGATCCTTATGTAATAATGTCTATTTTTTGTAAACTTTTCGCTATTCTTGTTTTTGTCATTTTAGTGTAACGGCAGTGTATAAAATAGTTATTTATATGACAAGAGTGCGAAGGTCAACTTCGCGCATTGACACTGAAGGCATTTTGACGAGGCGAAGCCGAGCTCATTAATGCAAATCCAAATGTGACAGTTTCGATGTGATTTATTAAGTGTTTCGTTTATTTGAGAGAGGTACAGGTAATTGTTTGAGATAACGTGACTATTTTAATCTTTAAAAAAACTTGTATTATTAGGTAGAATTTAATCCCAGAGCAGAATGTTTTTAACGTTTATGCAACAAGAGTCCCCAAACTTTCTGCAATTACCATGAGACGTGGTGCCACGTGATAGCCTATACAGGGTGGTGCCTAGCGCAACGCAGCATAGGGATTTCAATGGTAATTTTTTTATAGTCAATATCAATTACTAGCTCCCCTAATTATTTTAGAGCAAAAGTCTAAAGACGTTTATTTTAGAGAAAAAAATACTGCATCTGTTCATATACTTTTAGTTATAATTTTCCATTTTTCAAAACCGTAGAAATCGACAAAATAAAAAATTACATTTTTATAAATCAGTGATGCTTTGGAATCTTTTAACAAACTACAAGCGCATCGCATCTAAGTTATCGTTATTTGACGTCGAACGATTTTCATATTTAATTCTGTTACAACTATCCGATGCAAGAAAAAGCGGCAATTGGGTAATGTTTTTTTAGAGAATGTATGCTGCATCTGCATCAGATACTATTTGTTTATCATTTTCCGGAATCAGAGTACCTACATATAATCGAAGAAAAAAACTGATTTGAAGAAGATTTGTTCTTAAACTTATATTCGGATTTTCCGCTACTGCAGCCAAAAGGTTGAATGTATTGTCGTTTTCCTGATGGTTTTGACGGACATTTTGAACGTTATTGCACTTGCAGTGCTTTAACTAATTTATAAACAAGTATAAATTTAATATACGTCAAAGGCAAATAATGAAACGTGATCGCTGTTTTTTTAGGTAATTCCAAGGCATATTTGATTTATTGCAAAATGAACCTTTTTATTTTGTAGATTTCTACGGTTTTGAAAAACGGAAAATTATAACTAAAAGTATGAACAGATGCAGTATTTTTTTCTCTAAAAAAAACATATTTAGACTTTTGCTCTAAAATAATTAGGGGAGCTAGTAATTGACTATAAAGAAATTACCATTGAAATCCCTATGCTGCGTCGCGCTAGGCAACCACCCGGTATACGGGAACGTCAGAATAATATGTACCAAAATGAGTTTGAGATTTTTTAGACTCACTTTCACGGAACAAATAAGACGCTCTTCAGAGGTGGCCATGTTCGCCAATGCACAGAAAAAGCATTTGGGTGAATCCATTTGAAATCACAATATAAATATCATTTGTTGTTCAACATTTTTTTTATTTTTCTGATTTTGATTTCATGGGTTCCCTATAAGTAGGCAAATTACCATTTGAAAAATGTTACAAGCCATAGTTTTGTCTGTCAGCAAAAAAAATTCTCATTGGGAACAAGATTAAGAGCATTATCTCAATGCCCAAGATATGAATTTGATGCAGTATTGTTAACTATGAAATGTAGTTTGTAAGATTAAAATAAATGGTCGTTAAAAAACTGATTGTAATTGATTCGTTTTTTTTAAAGTGAACATAGGCATAATTGCATTGTACGTTCACTTTTAAGAAACACTCACTGTGTAAGCAAAGTGTCCTACTGTTATGAATTTTTGCCTTTAAGACTTTGATGTAGATCGCAATTAAAAAAAATAACAGATATAGTTCGGGAAATAGAGACTGAAAATGGACCATTTCCTGCAAAACGAGAAGTAGTTCCAATTTTTGTGCATGTCATGGAAGAATATCTGGTGGTTTCTACCACCTTTAGTTAACTAAAATTAGCAAATGGCGATAGAATGAACTAGTACCCATCTGAGTTTCAGCATTTGGTTTAACTAAAGTTTGTAATTTTTTTTATTGAACGAGATATGGTGGATATACTTACCTATATGATTTTTTTTAGAATTTATTTAACGTTGAATTAATATCTTCATTGGCAAATCTCTAATGATATCGACTAATAAGCAAAATAATAACGAAATACATTTAATTATTATAGGTTTTATTGATATTAAAAACACAATTATCGCGACATTTCACTATACACTTATTAAGGTATACGCAAACCTACGCGGTCGCGGTAGCGGACGCGGTAGCGGTGGCGAACGTGAGGCCGCACACTAGGGCGTTCAATCCGCGAGATCACATGTTTTTTTACGCACACTACCAATTGATTGAAATATGGTATTTGGAGTACGGGATAGATTTGTTTCTTTTTTTAATGCCTAACAATGTACTAAAACTATAAACAAATACACTTATCTTCACCAGGTTTGTCCAGTATCATGGCCAATTCATCCCATACCTTATCTTTCTTTTTTATATTTTTATACTCCTTACATGTAACGTCGTATAAAATTGGATTTCCTCTCACTAACTCAATTATAGTTGTTCTGTTCTGTCATTTTTTTTTCTGTCGAGACATGCGGCGCAAACTGGCGGGCCAACTGTGAGTGCAGCTGTCGCCCGCCACCGCTCTAGATCGCCGCGTTTGTTCGCTGCACTGATCTCCACCGTCACCGCACCGCTTGAACGCTTCAGTATGCGATGCCTATATAAAGTGTGTGCATTCTATTGCCCGCCACCGCCACAGCGACCTCGACCGCGTAGGTTTGCGTAAACCTTTAAACTCAACGTACAGACGTCTTAAACTAGTAATTATTAAGCTTTGTGACAGAACCGGTTAAACAAAAATGACAAATCAACATATGTCAAGAACAACAATACCCTTGCCAACTTGACAAGCAGTGAAATTAATTTAAAATGTCAGATTGGATTGATAATTTTTATCCAAATTATGGTGTGAAATTTTCTTACCGAATACCACGCAAGCTTAAATTATTCCTGGAAATTTTCTTTCGGGCACGAATATTTTGATAATTATTTTATAATATATAATTATATAATTTTCAAAATATGCGTGCCCTCAAAAAAATTAACCGGAAATAATTTTTCGTACTTCCGAGACTAAAGTGACAACTTCACTCCATTATGACAAGTACTGAAGTGTCACTTTTTGTCCCGCCGGGATTAAATTTGGACGAAAATCCCGGAAGGATGAAATTACTAACAAGGCAATTTCAGTAGGTTGTTCCACATTTTGTATGCGTTCTACTTCTTAAACGCATCGTACTGCTGCTCATATAGTTTTTTTGGATTTCGGTGGTATCAATTCTTTACCTACTTTGGCTACTCTTTTATCAATATCAAATACACCTTTGTCATCCACGACCAAACTTATGACACTAGCAATGACAGTTTCCAAATTATTTTTGTTACCACAGCGTAGGGTTTGGTGTACCAACGCAACGTTCCTATGGTAACTTGTTTTTTGAAAGAACGCGTTCTCTAACTCCATACATATGTGTTTCAGTTTCGGAAGTACGAAAAGTATCGTATATACCTTGCGACTGAAGTAGTGGTCTTAATCCCTCAGGTAAATTATGGCCATCCCCATAAACTTTACCTTCGGGATTAAAAGTACTACTTCAGTCCCGCGGTATATAATATACTATAAGCTCTTGTGATATTATAAGTGAAAATCCCGGAAGGATGATATTACTAACAAGGCAATTTCAGTAGGTTGTTCCACAATTTGTATGCGGCACTACTTCTTAAACGCATCGTACTGCTGCTCATAGGTATAGTTTTTTGGATTTCGGTGGTATCAATTC